GTGTATTTTGTGAAGCATTTTTGGAATGTCAATTTTCAATATTTTCAAGTTTGCATAGATATATCGATCTACACTATTTTTTAAGCTTTAAAATTTATAAATAAATATGAAAATATATTTTAAGGCTATCACAAATATTCGAATATTGAAACCACATTTCTCGACACTATTTGAAGATAGGCTCTAATTTGATTGTTTAAAGCCTAGGCTCTATACAAACCGCACCCCTCTCTTTAATATGCTGTAACAAATTTTAGCCATCAAAGGGCATTATAAACATACTTAATAATATATAACATACTTAATGTATTATTTTCTTTGAATTAATGAAAATGGGTAAGGGGCCCTTTCCCAATTGATTTATCCAAAAAAAAAAAAAAGTTTGATTCCAACCGTTGAACTCCCAATAAAATACAAATTTTTTTCGACGCATATAAACACCGACACAGTAAATGTCCTTAGTTGGATACCATATAAATTTACCGCGATCACAGGACGTGGATACAAGGGGCATGAACCGTGCACCCCAAAAATAACTATAAAACAGACTTATAAAAATTTAAGGCTTCTAATATCTTCTTGGATTTTCCCTCTCCTTCTTCACGGGCCCAAATCTACGGATAAATAAATAAATAAATAATTAATTAATTAATTAAATTGGAGCTTATTTTGTGTGTCATGTGTTCAAAAACTTGGAGCACATGCCTCTTTGAGGTAGTGGGTGGTTCTGGTTCCTTCGAGAACTTTTTAGTCACAATTGAAAGAACCTAGAAACTTCCTAGTCTTCTTTTTTTTTTATTTTTTGATGGAAACAATTTATATACGGATGCAACTATGATGTCCCTAAAAAATCCATTGAAAAAAAAAAGTAGTTTTAATATTAAAAAACCATTTGACTAATCGTCTTGACATCGAGATGTATGACTATGAAATATAAAAAGATTTTAAGTCTCAGAAATAGTGTATTTTACAACATATTATCTACACCGTCCATTTTCGAGATTTTCATATGTTTATAGATCTACTTGATTTTAACCATTTTTAAAATTTAAAATTTTATAATTAGATATAAAAATAGATTTTGAGATAATCCTAAGAACAATTTACATTAAAATTATATACCATGATAAAATTTGAAGGTGCACTTTACCTCTACACCTACGGATGCATCCGTATGCAAACTGCAGCCTGTTTTGATATATTAACAATGGAAATGAAGCGTGGGACATTATGTTGAGGCATCCTCCCCTGAACCACCGAACCGCGAAAGTTGTTAATATCTATAATGCTAAATGCAGTGCAAATTTTACGCCGAAGATTTTTCTAGATGATTTTCAAGATTTTTAAGAATTTATTCATCAAGATTTCTTAAAGTGTGTAATCATCCCAATCATTCACATAAGGCATTTCATAAATAAATTGATTAAATCAGCATTATTCCCATTTTAGCCAATAAATAAATTATGGGGTGCATTTCGGTGAATTTCACAAAAATTTCATTCCAAAAAATTTACCTTATCATTTATTTTGTTTGATTCCTATTAGATTTTCAATTGAACTTAGACCTATTTGACCACCTATTTAAAGCAATGCGCGCTGGAGTTAATGTATTTAAGTAATTCATTTAAATTCACACCAAATTTGTAAGCTACAATCTTGAAATGAAAATAGGGACATTACTAATGCATGGGTTGGCTTCTCCTAATTTTATACAATTAAATTTCAAAAAATCTAATTGAATCTCTATCCCACATTTAATCACAAATTATCCTTTAGATATTTAAATTTAATGGAGTCCATGCGTCTTTTCGGAAACGTTTGGTATGCGTGAAAATATTATTATGTGGAAGAACTCTCATATCAAGTGTGGAGTTTTGTCTTCTTAATTGGTTGTCAATTATTGTGAAAATTTTGTTGCGGTTGATTGCTATGAAAAAATTTATTTAACTATTTACATGAGCGAATTTTTTTACGTAAAAAATTTTTTATAAAAATATTTTAATATCTAACGCAATAAACCACAAACATGTAAAGAGAGTGGGAGAGGGCGCTTAGTGGCTAAGACCACGGGGTAAGGGCACTAAGGAGTAGATTGGGATTTCAACACACCCTCTTAAAAATAAATAAATTTCAAAACACCCACTTAAAAAAAATAAAAATAAAAAATCTCCATAGCATTGCATTCAAAATGTTGCAGCAAATACCCTCACCAAAACAAAATACCAAAATAGGACCAATTTTTTGCAATTTGCTCTTTAGCATTGTGAAAACAAATTATGGTCTCCTTTGGTGTATAATGTAGCATGCATACTAGGAACATCCACCATGCGACCAGCTTCCGATCTCCACCGACAACATTTGGTGGGCTGTAGATTCTCTTTTGGACTACAATCTTTCCATATGCTCCCCAAGGAGCAGTATTTCGCCATATCTTAATGCAACATGCTTACTATAGGAATGGTACAGTATGCTCATTAGCGAGCATGAAGCACAATACCTTCTTGTGGGCATGGAGCATGGTATAGAACTCTTGAGCGAAAATATTTTGTTTTATGCTCCCTTCTGATCACAAACCATGGTATATGATCCCACTCAAACAAATCTGTTCTTGAAACTTAGCCAGCCTCTAGAACTAAAATTATGTTGTATTTTTATTGGTAAAAAAGAAGAAAAAAAAGTTATGCTGTATAGAAGAAGAGGAATTGAGCTGTGGTTTATGCTGAATCAGTCTATGCTCTCTCATCCCTCTCGAGGTATATACTATTAATATTTGTGCTCCTTAAGTTGATTAGGACCTCTATATAAGTCAGATTAAAGAAGGGGAAGCTCCCCGTAATATAAATACTCTTAATATTTAGTAAGAGCAAGTAAGACCCCTGAGTCTTGTCTCATAGTAGAGTAGCTAAGAGCTTCTGGTAATTGAAAAACATAAGGATTGGTTGTCGGGCTTCAAGGGATGTCCTTTTTTTTCAAGGCTAAGGGCTCTGATCTAGATTTTTCTCCTATAACACACAATTGGATCACTCATTCCTTGTCTACTCTTTCCCTCTGTTTCCACTGTTGTATAGAATTATTCTAAATACACCCGTGACCACCTTTCAAATGTGGTTTTCCTTATTTTATTAATTGCCATTACTTGTAAACAAGATAAGGTCTTATACTCTGCACTGTAAAACGTAGGAAAGATCAATCAGTACACCACATAGTTTATTGCATAAACCCCATTCCCAAATGCAGCCTTTAACTACCTAAAATAGAAGAAAATCCGCAAAATAATTTTTTTCTTAAACTTCAGTGAAAAATCACGAGAAGTATAAATATCATGTTAGAATTCAGCCCAAATATGAGAGAAACTTGAGAGGTTAAAATTGGACCAACCCAGCCTTGGCCTTAGCTAGGACCTCGTCCCGTTAGGGTTGCCATGAGCACCACAGGCCGACTGGGCGGAAGATGCCCTCGCTCAAGCCTAACTCGGCCCTCCTACCACATTTTGTGGCTCAAGTACTAATTTTTTAGGGCCGGGCCACCTGACCCATCACCAAGTCTACTTAAAGATGCAAGACTTGTTGATATCAATGCAGGACATAAAGCAATAGGTTGTGACATATGAACTAGTTTGGATGCACATGTATGGCCGCACTTGACATAGTAAAACCAATATAGTGATAAAACACATTAAATGGTATATAAATCAAAAGAATTATATATTATGAGACCATTTTTTCTTTGGTGTGGTTTGTATAGAGCAGAGGCTCTAGACCATCAAAGTAAAGCCAACCTTCAAATAGTATTGAGAAATATAGTTTTCATATTAGAAATTTTTGTGATAGCCGTAAAATATATTTTTTATCTTTAATTATAAAAAATTAAAGCTTAAAAAATAGTGTAGATCAAGCAGATTTATAAAACTTGAAAACCTTGAAAATTGACGGTCAAAAAATGCATTACAAGATGCACTATTTTCAAAACTTGAAATCAAATTTTTTTTTCTCTGATCCATGTATCTCGCTGTCGAGATGATCAATTTATATTTAGGCATTAAAACGACATCCTCTAGTGAAATTTTTTAGGTTGGCTCTAATTTGATTGTTTAGAGCCTCTGCTCTATATAAACTTTTTCTTTTATTTTTTTGGTATAGAAAAAAGTCACATCAACTATAGCCATTAGATTTGAAATTTGGAGGGCGACGAAAAAAAATTTCTTCAACATTGTGTACAATCAATGATGCACCCTAGCCATCTAATTGCATGGTCCGGATAATTCAAACTTCATCAAAATACAACATTTGGCATTGGACATATAAGATAACTTTGTCAGTGCCTTATACATATAATCAAAATAAGCCGAGAGTTATTGTAGAAGTGAACTTTATCACTCCATCATTCTTAACATGATCAAAATGACAAAAAATGCATCAATAATTCATTACAACAATTGAAGTGCCGGACCTATGAAGAGATCATAAGAACCGCCCTATCTTCCATAAAATGATATCAAACTTTATTATTTATATATATATATATATGTAATACTTGTTTGGTTTCAAACATAAATGTTAAGAGTCTCTAAGTTGCTTAAGATTGGAAGGAAGCTATTAGTATCAAACATGTAAGCCAAAAGATTTCATACTCCTGAAGGAACATACTGTCCATCTATTCCATTGAGTAGACACATCCAACATAGCCTGCATGTCCTATTTGAGAATTCAAAAGCAGCGCCAAATCTAAAAAAATAAAAAAATTTAGGGTGGGAGAGGTATTTTGGTCATTTAAACAAGAAGGACCATCTGGTCAAATGATAAGTGAAAGGGGCAATTCAGTCATTTTAGGTACATAAGACATTGGGGGGTCACACGCGAATGATTAAAACTTTAAAAGGGGATGATAAAAGTCTCGACGAGCAGTACACACACATGAAGGGGGAGAGAGAGAGAGAAAAAGAAGAGAGAGAAAATAAAAGGGAAGAAAAGGAGACAGGAAAATGGAAAGGGAAAGAAATACAGTGGGGTTCAGTCGAGTTAGAGAGAGAAACAAAGAGGCATGTGGAGGAACTTAGAGAGAGAAAGACGCCCACATATTGCTCTCTCACTCTAAGTTAGAGAGAGAAACACCCCCACATATTCTCCCCTTCACTCTAAACCCGGCGGCTATGCCCACTGCTCTTGCCTCAGTGTAAGAGCGAGAGTGTAGAGAGAGAAAGTAGGGAAGCACGGACTGTGAGGAACATAGGGAAGACCCAGTTGAAAACCGGCGCTCAGAGCCCAAGCAGGTGTAATCAGGGTGAAGAGAGAGAAAGTCGTCTAGAGAGAGAAATATCGATGACCCAGGTGGTGGAACAGAGGTGAGAGGACCTTATGTGAGGTGGGTTGATCAAAGGTGCGAGCTTTATAGAGAGAGGAGATGGTGGGTCTCGCGCCGTGGCCGGGTTCGAGCTCCTGGCGAGCTTGGGGCTCGAGCTGTGTCCCCTGATGTGAGAGAGAGTGCCATGGAGGAGTGAGAAACGGGCTTTCTCTCTCATGGCGAGCACCCCTGGTTTCGAAGACGATGTCTCTACAAAAGCAGTGCTCAAGCGCTATGAAGGCTTGACGACTGTCCGCTCGAAGGCCATTAAAGGCAAGGGAGCTTGGTATTGGGCTCATCTCGAGCCCATCCTGGTTCAAAACCAGGACACTGGAGCGCCCAAAGCTGTAAAGCTTCGATGCTCTCTCTGCAACTCTCTCTTCTCTGCTTCCAACCCTTCGAGAACCGCTTCCGAGCACCTAAAGCGAGGAACTTGCCCCAATTTCACTGCAAATCTCCCAAAACCTCTCTCTAGCTTCCCCACCATTCGCCCCATCTCACCATCTTCCCTCTCTACCCCAACTGCTACCTCTTCTCACCACTCTAGAAAGAGAAACCCCGTTCACCACCATCAGCATTCTCAGCCCCAACCTCTCGCCATGGTCGAATCCTCTCGATTTTGCGAGGTGGTTTACCCCACCCCTCTGATGCTATCGGGTGGAAAAGAGGATTTGGGTGCTCTTGCTATGCTTGAGGATAGTGTGAAAAAGCTCAAGAGCCCAGGTGGTAAGGCCTCTCCAGGCCCTGTTCTCACCAAAAACCAGGCCGAAACAGCTTTCAACCTTCTCAGTGATTGGCTCTATGAGTCTTGTGGTGGTGTGTCTCTCTCTAGCCTCGAGCACCCTAAATTCAAGTCCTTTCTCTCTCATCTAGGTGTCCCCCCGATTTCTCGTAAGGAAATTGCAGGCCCAAGGCTTGATGCGAGGTATGAAGAGGTGAAAAACGAATCGGAAGCGAAGCTTAGAGACGCCATGTTCTTTCAGGTCTCTTCTGATGGTTGGAAACCGAAACCCCATTTCTCTTCTCCCTTCTCTTCTTTTGGAGAGAACTTGGTTTCGATCACAGTTAACCTCCCTAATGGAACCAGTCTTTTTAGAAAGGCAGTTTTCACTACTGGCTCTGTTCCTTCAAATTTTGCAGAGGAAACACTTTGGGATAGCGTAAATGCAATTTGCAATGGTGGGGTTGTTCAGAGATGTGTTGGTATAGTTGCCGATAGGTTCAAAGCCAAGGCTTTGAGGAATTTGGAGTCTGAAAACCATTGGATGGTGAACCTTTCTTGCCAATTCCAAGGGTTCAATAGCTTGATCAAGGATTTTGGCAAACAGCTCCCTTTGTTTCGAAAAGTAGCTGAGAATTGCCTAAAAATCGCAAATGTCTTTAACTCGAAAGCTCAATTGAGAGCTGGGTTTGAGAAGTCGCAGTTGCAGGAGCTTGATCAGGTGGGGCTGATCAGAGTCTTGCCAGAAAACCATTTATCAGGTGGGTTTTCTGGCGAAAACTTCCCTCTGATTTGCCCCACTTTAGAGGACATCATGGCCACTGCTCGAGCTCTGCAACTTGCTGTAATGGATGACTCCTTTAAGCTTCTTTGCTCACAGGATCCTCTTGCCAGAGAAGTTGCAGATATAATTGGAGACATGGGTTTTTGGAACGAATTAGAGGCAGTTCTTTCTCTCACTAAGTTGGTCAAGACAATGGCTCAAGAGATCGAAACCGAGAGGCCTTTAGTTGGGCAATGCCTGCCATTGTGGGAGGAGCTTCGCACCAAAGTGAAAGAATGGTGTGTCAAGTTCAATGTACAGGAGGGGCAAGTAGAGAAAGTAGTGGAGAAGAGGTTCAAAAAGAATTATCACCCAGCGTGGTCAGCTGCTTTCATACTCGACCCTCTCTATCTCATCCGTGACGCGAGCGGTAAGTATCTCCCTCCCTTCAAATGCCTCACACAGGAGCAAGAGAAAGATGTTGATAAGCTTATAACTCGATTAGTTTCAAGAGAAGAAGCTCACATTGCTTTAATGGAGCTCATGAAATGGCGCTCTGAAGGTCTCGATCCTTTATATGCACAAGCTGTTCAGGTTAGACAGAGAGACCCTATTACCGGTAAGATGAAAATAGCAAACCCACAAAGTAGCCGGCTGGTTTGGGAAACTTGTTTGAGTGAGTTCAAGTCTTTGGGGAAAGTAGCAGTGAGACTAATCTTTCTTCATGCTACTTCCACTGGTTTTAAGTGTAATTGGAGCTTATTGAGGTGGGTTTACACGCATGGGCATTCGAGGTTGGGAATGGAGAGAGCTCAAAAGATGATATTTATAGCTGCTCATTCAAAGCTTGAGCGTAGAGACTTCTCGAGCGAGGAGGAGAAGGACGCTGACCTCTTTGCGAATGGTGAGGACGAAGTGCTAAATGAGGTTTTCGTGGATCAATCTGTGTAACATTTGTAGGATTTATTTGAATTCTTTCTCTTACTCTTCTTTCTTTCTCTTAATCTTATGTCTCTGTTGCCCTTTCGTTTAGGGGGTACTTTTTTACTGATTTAGTTAATGGGTGGGGAGGAGCCCTAGGCTCTTTGTGATGTTTAACCAGAGGAGGGATTGGGGGGTAGGGGGACAATAGAGCTTTCCCCACCCAAACATGATTTTGGGTTTATTGAGTTTGCTAAAAAACTCCTGTTGTTTATAGAAACAAACAAGAGATAGAATGTTGAAGAAAACAGATGTAGCCTTTTGATCCCTAGAGGACATTAATAATAATTATGTGGAGGGAAGGTTCTTCCTTGGTTTGAGATTGAGAAAGCTCTGTTTTTTGGCTCCATGATTGCTATACCTTTCTTTGCCTTGCAGCTTCCATTGTGGTCCTCTCTCTCTCTCACTCTTTCTCTAATTTTCTTATTTGTGCTGCCTCCCATCTGATTCGTTCTTTATGCTTCTCTTATTTGTACAGAACACTCAGTTCATTTTTATTGGACCTTCATGTAACAACTTCATATATCATTATTTTGAATTTATGCAGTTAGTAACTATTTAGCAGGTTTATGAATATGGATGAACCATGTATAGGGCATCTGCCAATCTGTGTGTTCTTTTCTCAGTTTGATTATTTTGTGGAGAAATTTACTCTTTAGTTCTTGTCTTCGTCAGAATGCTCGTGATTGCTAAATGAAAGGGACACCGAAGTTCTCTATGAAATGTGTATAAGAATCACTACCTTATTCTCAGTTGTCACCCTGTTCTCACTAATTGAGATGAAGCATTGATTTTCCTAACCTCTTTCCTGAGAGATTCCTGAAAGATTGATCTTAGTCGCGATATGGGCTCATCCTTTCAATTTTGCAAAAATGAAGATACGTCTGATCATTCTAAGCAGTTCGACTAGATGTTCGTGGAGTAAAAGTGGTTCAGGATTCAGTTCCTTCACATTTTCTCAGCTTCAAAAGTGGTTTGCATTCCTTACTCTCTCTCTACACCCATCCTTTTCTCTCTCCACCGAATTTCCTTCCAAACTAGGCTCCTTCAGTGAGTAATATGCTTCCAAACTGGGCTCCTTTTGGACCCATTGTACCCATCCTTTTCCTTCACATCATGAGAATCATAACAATCCTTTATTCGGTAAGCCGTTCTCGAATAGCTTTACTGGTTCACATGGCAGATAATGTCAATATGGGAAGGACTGATCTAAATAGAAGCCTGCATTCTTACAGTTGGACCTTGATGTATACAGGTTAAAGGAGTCTTTACTGGAAAATGCCACCATATTTATTTCTCTCTAAATCCTCATAAATCAATATGATGGGTTCTCTTGGCCATTCCTTTGCAAAAGTACATCCATGTTGCCATCTATTTAGTAGACATGGACGGGTTTCTCTGAACTTATATTGGGAAGGAACCAGCCAGTGAAGACTGTATTTTGATGGACCACACTTTAGTTGGGTTTGATTGGATTCCCTTCTATAAATGGCTCCTGCTGCTTCCGAGTTTTTAGTAATCAGATCGGCATCGAAAACATGCTCCACTTTTGGTTGATCCATCTCTGTCTTTGCAAGGACTTGTGGTAGAGAGCGAGAAAGAGAGGAGAGATAGTGGGATTGAATCTGGTTGTAGTTTTCCTTTTTATGCTCTCATAATGAAGATACGTTTTAGTTTCAGTTTCCATCTATTGTTTACCTCCAATTTATGTTTCGATAGCAGTTCCGAATCGAACTCTAAATTTGGGCTGCATCTGCCATATGCACTCTCTTTAGATTCTTCATGTGTGCTTTGAAGCGTGAAATCTTTCACAATTCTTTTCGAATGACCGGCTTTTCTGGATTCCTTACCAAAATGGTATTCAATCTAACTGCAAAATTCTGCTGAAGCCACGTTTGATTTCATGCATTTGCATGTCGATTAGCAGATTTGGTGAAAGGGAATTTACAAAGCCTGATCTTTCTCAAACATGGGAGGACCCTGAAGCTCCTCTTTAACGATCAGGGAATATGATGTTTCAATTTTTTAGAGAGAGAAATGTGGATGAATTCACTAGGTGACAATAGAAAGTGACAAGATAGAGGGGTACTGTGAGAGCCACTAAGGTGGTAGGAACTTGTTGTTTATAGAAATGGTTGTGATGCTCAAAAAGTGTGCCTAGATGAAGCACAAGAATGGCAATGACTTAAGTTCAAAAGCAACAAAATGATGCAATTTTTGCAGGTTTTCTCTGTGGTGATACTTGGATCAAGCCATGGTAAGGGTAAGGTTTATCAGAGCTGGTTGGGTCAATGGCGAACCAGATGGTTGTATCGGTCAACCTCGGAAGAGAGATAAAGAGAGGAGATATAGAGTAGAGAGCGAGAGATCCTCCAAACCAGTGTAACGCCTGGTGTGTGTTTTCTGGTCTCTATGGAGTGGACACCCACCATGAAAGCAGTGGATGTCCTTCTCAAAGCTTTTGTCTTGGTCAAAGAAAAGTGGGTTTATGGGCCTCCCTTAAACATCATCTGCTGATGACTGTCCCATTAGGCTTTTTACATGGGCTTACATGGGTTTTGAGCATTTCACATCAGGTTTAGAGAGAGAGGAAGATCTTTAGTTGGGCATACTTGGGTTTTGAACAATTAATCTACATAGATTTTTAGTTGGGCCTGTGAGTTTTGAACATTCTTGAGAGAGAGAACCGATGATCATTAGAAATTAAAAGGGCTCATTAAGGCATAAGCGGGATTGTCTACAAAGAGATTATTTATCTTTTACATATGGAGGTTACAATCGTTTCTATTCATTATATGTCAAATTAGACGACTTGAAATGAGCCACGAAGTCCAAAAACATTTTTTGTTTTTTAAGAATTTAATGTCTATTCAAAGACACGCATACAACCCCCCATTTTGATATTTAAAAATAATAATTATTATGACTTCCATGTACAAATAATAAATTGTCTCTTTGCATACAACCGTGGAGAAGGAAAGAGAGAGAATCAATGAGGAAGCAGATAGAGTGAGTAGAATTGGAGCACATAGAATCACTAAAACCAGAATGTGAGCTGCTTTGTTAAACCTAAAACCTAAAATCAAGGATGAGAAACAGCATATTCATGGCTTTGAGGCCAATTACATTCTATACATGAGATTTTGGTAGCGAAAATTTCAGTACTACATGAAAGCATGAGGTTGGGTCATGATTGAATTTATTATTATAACAAAACTTACTACAAAAAACCAGTGTCATGTAATAGTGCCTGAAATGGCAACTAATGATGCCATGAATGAGGATCCAAGAATTAGAGAGAGATATAGAAGTTTTTGATGCCATACGTGCCCCTCTCATTTAATCTTCACCATATTATTTCTGCTATGGATTCCCTTTTCTCAGTGGCCTGCACAGTCAGACTCTCTCCCTCTCTCTCTCTCTCTCTCTACAAATTAGCGAAAGAAATCTGACTATCACTTGAACACACTCTCTCTCTCCCTAAGGAATGTGATAAATCAGAACCATCATTTGATCTGATATAAAGCACCAGACAGCAAGTTTTGAACATTATGCTTTCAACCCTTGAAATCAGCGGGTTAGAATCATGAGTGCCTCTCTCTCTCTCT